CTCCCCCCACCCCCCTCCCGCGGCCTCGCCTCGCCTTTCCCTCTTTCCCCGGTGACACACCGAGTTCTCCCCGGCCGCACAAAAGAAACGCGTCTGGCCTGTAAGTCCCGCGCGGCCCGTGCCCACCTCTACCCCAAATGACTGTTTTCGCTCAGAATCAACTCCTGTCTGGGCCACCTCGAAGTCCCCAGCCCCTGGGCAAGTACAGCCCAGAATGAGTGAGTGTTAGCTGAGTAGGATCCCACCGAACAGGATTGCATAGAGCAGCAGGGGCAGCGACCCGGGCCTGTCCTGCCAGCTCCTAGCGGTGTCCTCCTCGAGGGGCCGCTGGCCCCTCCTTCCTCGGCCTCTTCTCCCGGGACCTGAGCCCGACTGAGTGACAGCAGCCTGTGCTCTAATGGGCCCCCGGATGCTGCCTCCTAATTAGCTTGGACCTTCTCCCCAAAGGCTGCTTCTCAGGCCCCCACCTCTGCACCGCAGTCAATTTTCCGGGATTGGGATAGAACTGATGGCTTCTAATCAGATGAAACGTTTCTGTTGGCTACAGGCCGCTGGTGAGTGCAGCAGGAGACTCCAAGAGCCCCACCAGGCTCCACATCCTCTCCTGTAGGACTCTCTCTCCTTGTTTTGCACCTTTTAACTGTCTGGCCAAATCCGCCAGACCCTGGCCTTGGCTGCCAACCAGTGGGCCTCTGCCCACTTCAGGACAAGTTTGTGGTGGCCGGGGGCCTCCACTTTGGCTTTCCAGAGTTGCAGGCATAGGCCTGGCAGGCTAAGTGACTGCAGTTTCCCAACACTGGGCCCACAGCCTAGGAAACCTATAGTAGAGCTTCTCTCATGGGTAAAGGCAAAGACATTCCCTTTCCCGCCTCTAAGAAAGATCCCCTCCATGAGTCTACTTCAGCGAAGTTTGTTGAAGGATTTTTGCTCAACGATTGTTATCTGGCCCTGAGACCTCAAGAGTCTTGGCCAAATAGGTGACAGCTGGGGTGGTTGGGTGTGACCCTGACCTGTTCCTCTGGCCACAGCTGGACCCCAGGCTGCCCTCGTGCTCCTCACCTGCTGACCAGTTCCACCAGACAGGAGCAGTGCTGAGCAGGAAAGGGACCTGGGGGAGAAACACTGCCCTACTTTCCAGGCTTCGTGCCATCCCCTAGGGCCCAGTGCATCCTCATCTCTTCCTGGGGGTCTTTGCTTGGGACTGAACATGCAGGCTGTCAGCAGCTGGGATGCTCTGCCGGCACTGCCTTGAGCCCTCATCCTGGCTCCCCATCAGAGGGAGGCCCCAGGCTGAGTTCCTTGGTGAGGATTGCGGGGGCAGGGGCAGGGGCAGGGGCAGGCTCAGGGTGGAACCAGGCCTGCCTCTCACTCCCTGGGCCTCAGTCCAAGTCCCACAGCTCTGGGCACTAGGGAGAAGGCACAGTTCCTTAGGGCCTGGCCCATTCTCACTGGGGGCAGGGTCTGAGGCGGAGGCCAGAGGGAGGATACATCCAGGAATTTGGGTTGGGGAGGCTCAGCGACTCCTGCTCTTTCTTCCCAAAAGGAAGTCTCTCTAAGTTGTGACCCCCCCACGATAAAAATAGTCTTGGTGTGTGTGGGGAGGTGGTAGAAGGGGGAGACTG